TGCCCACCCGGTACTGCCGCAGGAACTCCTTGAAGCGCCGCTGCAGCTGCGACTTGCGGGCCTGACTGTCGTCGGCCGCGGAGTCGCCGCCGAAGCTGTCGCTGTAGAAGATGCCCGGATCGTCGAAGCCCGACATGACGGCGCGCCTGGAGCACAGCGAGCCCGGGAAGCTGCAGCAGCGGACGCACGGGACCCGCCACCGGACCCGCGCCGCGTCCTTCTGCAGCCGCCGCCGGTTTTCGCGGGAAAACGCCCGGCCCCGCCCCCGAGCGTCTCTCTGATTGGTCGGCTCGGGCTCCGCCGCCTGCCATTGGGCCGTCGGCCGCCCGCCCGCCCCGCCTCCCCGGCGGCCCGCTGGGCGCGGATTGGCTGAGAGGCGCGTGACGTCACGCCCGGGCTCCTTCCGGGCTCCATTTTGATTTGGCGCGAAACTTCGGGGCGGAAGTAGCGCGGGGCGAAAGATGGCGCGGGGTTGCAGCGGGGCAACGTGGGCTCAACGCCCCGGCATCCCGGGGGAGGGTCCTCTCCCCCCAGCCCCCGCGACCCGGCCCCGAGCACCGCCGGGTGTGGCCCAGAAAGACAAAAATAAATAAAAATTAAGATTTGGGGGCTGGAGCAATAGCATAGCGGATTAGGGCGTTTTCCTTGCACGCAGCCGACCCGGGTTCTATTCCCAGCATCCCATAGGGTCCCCTGGGCACCGCCAGGAGTAACTCCTGACTGCAGAGCCAGGAATAACCTCTGAGTGTCGCCAGGGGTGACCCAAAAAGAAAAAAAAAAAATTAAGATTTGAGGTGCAGAGAGATTTGGGACAATGCTCAGGGGCCGTTCCTGGCTCAGTGCTCAGCGGACCACGCAGGGCTTGAATAGAAATCTGGCCCTCGTTCCTGCTGATTCATCCTGGAAAATAAGAAAAATAAATAAAAATTAAGATTTGGGGGGGTTGGAGGGGCTGGAGCAATAGCACAGCGGCTAGGGCATTTGCCTTGCACGCAGCCGACCTAGGTTCGATTCCCAGCAACCCATATGGTCACCCCGAGCACCCCCAGGAGTAATTCCTGAGTGCATGAACCAGGAGTAACTCCTGTGCATTGCCGGGTGTGACCAAAAAGAAAAAAAAAAAAGATTTGGGGGGTTGGAGAGAGAAGTTTCCCAGGCCATTGTCAGAGCCCCAGGCTTGGAATAACTGGGAGGTGGGGTTTGGGACTTTTAGGTCCTGGGCTCAGAGAGATAGCACCGGGCCCTGCGACCCCCTGCACCCCAGATGGTCCCCCTGGCACCTCCCATCATCACCTCCTCTCATCACCTCCTGAGTCCCTCCCTGTGTGGTCCCCAAACCGTAAGGAGCAGAAAGTTCAGGTCCCCAAGTTGGGTCCCATGACTGCAGAGGCACCAGAGGCGGGTTCCCCCATCTCCTTGCCGTCTGCAGACCCTCGAGGGGATTTTCTTAACCCCCCCTAATCCTGAGAGCGCTCTTGGCAGTGCTTAAAAATTGGCATCTGGGGGCTGGAGCAATAGCACAGCGGGTAGGGCGTTTGCCTTGCACGTGGCCAACCCGGGTTCGATTTCCAGCATCCCATATGTTCCCCTGAGCACCGCCAGGGGTGATTCCTGAGTGCAAAGCCAGGAGTAACCCCTGTGCATCGCCAGGTGTGACCCAAAAAGGCAAAAAAAAAAAATTGGCATCAGGGGCTGGAGCCATCGTACAGAGGGTAGGGTGTTTGCTTTGCATGCGGCCGACCTGGGTTAGATTCCCAGCATCCCATAGGGTCCCCCGAGTACTGCCAGGAGTCATTCCTGAGTGCAGAGCCAGCAGGAACCCCTGTGCATTCCCGGGTGTGACCCAAAAAGAAAAAAAAAAATCGGCATCAGTTCCCAGGCTCCTAACTGTGCTTGAAAGATACCTCCATGACTGGAGAGGTAGTACAGGGTGAAGGTGCTGGTCTTTCACCATCTGGGTGCAATCTCCAGCACCCTCAGAGGGTCGGTCCTCAGACATCCTTGAGCACTGCCCGGTGTGACCCCACCCATGCCAAACAAACACTGAAATGAAGAAAAATTGAGAAGACGCAGCGGAAGTGGAGAGTTTGAGAGAGGCAAGGAGAGCCGCCTGGTTGGTTGGCCCTGCCTCCTCCTCCTTCAGTCTACCAACAGGAGCTGGAAAGAACTTTTTTCTTTTTCAAGGTGGGGTGAGGATGGGCACACCCTGAGGTGCTCAGGGCTGGCAGGGCTTGGGGGACCACATGAGGTGTCAGGGATTGAATCATGGATGAGCCATTTGCAACTCAAGCACCTTCGACTCTGTGCTATGTGGCCGGCCCGGAAAGAACTTTCTGTTTGCTCCCTCAGACAGACAGACAGACTCACGCACACGCACACGCACACGCACACGCACACACATGCACGCACGCACGTACGCATGCACGCACACAGAGCGGACTTTTAACATGCTGACCTCAGAGCTGTAATTTGTGTCTATGAAGCCATGTCCAAGTGTGAGTCATTGGTGGCGCACGCAGGTACTGACGTAGCAGTGTGCGTTGGTGCTTGTACCGTGCAAAAGTGCATGGGTCTGAAACTGGCTCTTCTTGTTTTGTTCGTGGACCACACCTGGCAGTGCTCATGGGTTGCTCCTGGCTCAGTGCTCAGTGGACCTTGCCGGGCCTGAATCACCATCTGGTCCTCGTTCCTGCTGATCCACCCTGGAAGCTCTAAGACACGGATCTCAATTCCATACCACAGCCTTTTTTCTTTCTTTTTCTTTTTTTTTTTTCCCTTTTTGGGTCACATCCTGCAATGCACAGGGGTTACTTCTGGCTCTGCACTCAGGAATCACTCCTGGCGGTGCTTGGGGGACCCTATGGGATGCTGAGAATCGAACCCAGGTTGTCCACATGCAAGGCAAACGCCCTCCCCACTGTGCTATCACTCCAGCCTCTCCACAGCCTTTTTCACTTTCCATAGTGAAATGACTCCGCCTGGTCTGGGAAGAGGGGAGAGGGAAAGGCCTTGTCTACCCGGGTTCAAGCCAAGGCACTGTTTAGGGGCTCCTGGGCACCCCCAGGAGTGATGCCTGAGCACTGCCAGGTGTGGCACAGGAACACCACCCTCCACCCTACCCCCCAAAAAAAAATTCTACTTTCATTTGGGGGAATTTAAGGTTTCTCTGCCATCCCAGCCCTCATGTCACGAGAGGGACTGCTGATGCCCCTTGGAGAGAGCACTGGGGGCCTGCGGCCTGAGAACCTTAAAGATGTCTGATTTGGGGGCTGGAGCAGGTAGGACATTTTCCTTGTATGCGGCCGACCCGGGTTCGATTCCCAGCATCCCATAGGGTCCCCCGAGCACAGCCAGAAGTCATTCCTGAGTGCAAAGCCAGGAGGAACCCCTGTGCATCGCCGGGTGTGACCAAAAAAGAAAAATAAATAAATAAATAAATAAATAATGATGCTGCTCGATTTCTGCCCGCACCAGCCCCATCTGGAAATCCCCCTAGGAGCTTTACCATGCCATAATTCCCACCCCCAAGTGCTCAGAAGCAGCCCTCTAGGATGGGGTGCTGGATCCTAGGTGATTCCTACACACACACACACACACACACACACACACACACAGACTGACTCTGCCCTCTCCAACCAACCCCCCACCGCCTGTCCTCATGACCCACCAGCTATGGAGACACCATTTGTCTCAGGCTCCTGACTTCAAGATAACACCTGGACTTGGGGCCAGAGCGATAACACAGCGGGGAGGTAGGGCATTTGCCTTGCAAGCGGCCTACCTGGGTTTGATCCCCGGCATTCCATAGGGTCCCACAAGCAACGCCAGGAATAATTCCTGAGTGCAGAGCCAGGAATAACCCCGGAGCATCACTGGGTGTGACCCAAAAGGAGAAAAAAAAAGATAGCACCTGGACTGGGGACAAAGACTTCCTGTGACAAAGGCTTCCTGTGTCCTGGTCCTGGGAAGAGGCAGTCCCTCTGCTCTCCCGAACACTTCCTAGGGGGCTTTCACCCCACCAAGGATGAGGGGCTGAGCCGTGGGGTGACGCTGCCAACACTGCTTCAGGTTGCGGTGATTCAGCTCCCACAGGTGAACCACAATGCATCAGGGAGAAAACAGGAGAAGCCCCCACAGCACAAGAACCCCAAGCCAGGGGCTGGATCAATAGCCCAGCAGGGAGGGTGTTTACCTTGCACATGGCCAACCCGGGTTCGATTCTCCCGAGCACCGCCAGGAGTAATTCCTCAGTGCAGAGCCAAGAGGAACCCCCTAAGCATCACCGGGTGTGACTCCCAAAAAAAGCAAAAAACAAACAAACAAACAAAAAACCCCAAGCCCCAGAGAGCGCACTGGGCTTAAGGCACGCACAGTTGACAAAAAGGGGACCCAGGTTCCATCCCCACCATTTCACAGGGTCCTCCTAGTCCTGCCAGGAGTGAGCCCTGCTGAGCATAGAGCCAGGAGTCAGCTCTGAGCACAGTCAACCGTGCCCCCTCACACCCTGCTCCCCCCATAAAAAGGAACCGCACAAATGCCTCATTTCTGAGCTGTGGGCTCAGAGGCCAGCTGTGGGCAGGGGGTTTCTCCTCTACTTCTCTAAACATGGCATGGAGGCCTGTTCCTGAGGCCCCGCAGTGAACCCCCAAGGCAGAGCTGCTAAGTACGGTGTCTCCCTCCAGGCCCTGCAATGCAGGACTCCTGCCGTCTGTGCCCAGCCTGGCAGAGGGGGTCTTTGGCAGACCCACCCACACTCCCCGGCCTCACTGCTGCTGCAAGCCAGCCCCACCCCCGACCCTCACAGCATCCAGACCCCACACCTACCCCCCACACACTCTGTTTATCTCCCAAGGAGCCAAAAGGAGGAACCTGTTGACTCCCCAAGGCTACCAAGAACCCAAGAAAAACACTTCAAGTCACTATCAGGCAATGTCCTTTATTGTTATGTCACACAAGTTAAGAGACCAAGGCCACGAGGTTAGACGCCCCTACCCCCCCCCCCCCCCAAACCACCCCCCTATAAAAAAAGTAACAAAACAAGGAAATACCAGCTTAGGCTAAACTGATAATCCAAAAGGGCTTCCACAAAAACAAGACGGAGACACAACATCGATGCAGGTTTATATAAAAATGGGCATGGCCCACGGACGGTTCAAGGCAGAGGTCAGGTCAGGGAGACCCCACAAAGTCTAGAGGTTCAAGAGATGCTACCGCGGGCCGGAGTCTTCTGGGCTCTGCTGCAGGAATGAGTGTGTTAAGTGTGTGTGTGTCTGTGCGCAAGCATGTGAACATGTGTGTGTAAGCATGTGTGTATGTGTGTGCGTGTGTGTGTGTGTGATTGTGTGTAGGGGCAGGAAGAACTCCTGTCCCACAAGTCCATGTTGCTGGCCATATGTGAAGACGCTGCTTCCTTTTCAGAGAGACGGAGCGTGGAGAGGCTGGTGGGGGAGGGGTTCAGCTCCCCAAGGGTCCCAGGAGACTCCCCCTCTCTGGTGGTCTGGGGTGGGCAAGAGTCAGCGGCAGGAGCGTGTCCCTCACAAGGCGTAGAGCCCCACGGCGGCCACCGTGGCCACCAGGAAGCCGAGTGTCAGGACCCAGCGGACGAGCGGCGTCTGGGAGAGGCTGAGGGGCGACTTCCCCTTGGGGGTGTCCGAGGGGGCGGAGCCTAGAAGACAGGAAGGGACCCAGGATCAGTGCAAGACAAAGACGCAGCCTGGCCCTGGTCCCTGGAAAACAGGAAGCAAAGGGCCCTGGGCTGTCCCTGCTATCTCCTGCCCGGCCCACGCATGGCTGAGAAACTGCTGCCCTAAAGCCCAGACCCTCCAGCACAAACCCACCGGGGCAGGGGACACGTGGTCCCCTACACCCGGGCACGCATGACAGGCTCCACAGAAGCTGGAGCGAGGGGCACCCCGGAGCCAGCAGAGTCTGGGGGAGGTGCTCCTGGAATTTCTGGAATTTATAGCCCAGAGGCACTGGCTGCAGACAGAGGAGCAGGGCAGGGGTGAGGCTGGGTGAGGCAGGGGGAGGTGTGAGGCCCCCTTCCCTAGATATCTCACACGCACACAAGCCCCAAAGCGGGCTGTGTCCCCTGGAGTCCCCTCAGAGGGTCCTAGGCTGGATAGCTACAAACAGTCCAGACCCCCAGCCCACCTTGGGGGGGGGGCTGGGAGGGGCTCTCGTCACAGAGTCCTGCAAGGGCCCCAAAGGAATCCAACAAGGAAAAGAGGCAATGGGGATGGAGCGATTGTACAGCCGGGAGGGCTTTTGCCTTACACACAGCCGACCCGGGTTCGAGTCCCAGCATCCCATATGGCCCGCCAAGCACCACCAGGAGTAATTCCTGAGTGCAGAGCCAGGAGTAACCCTGTGCATCGTCGGGTGTGACCCAAAAAGCAAAAATTTAAAAAAAAAAAAAAAAAGGAGCCAGGTGGGGCTCAGGCTTGGGAGGGCCCATCCTCACTTCTGTCTATATATGTGTGTATACTTGGGGGCTTGTTTGGGGTCCCACTCGGCAGCGCTGGGGTCCACTCCTGCCTCTGTGCTCAGGGGTGCCCGCCAGAAGTGCTCGGGCATCCACGCTGGACATCAAGGCAAGGGCCCAAGTCCGCAGGGGCCGGTGCCCTACAACAAGCTTGGCCGCCCGGGCTTTTGCAGGTGGGGAAACTGAGGTAGAAAGCGGTTTTTGCCTCGCTTGCCCAGACTCAGCTCCATCGTCAGAGGACAACAGACAGGCAGCCAGGCTCCAGCGGGTCAACTCACCTGGCCCCCCGCTGCCGGCCCGCCGACGCAGCCCCGGCGCCTGTGTTGGTCCCTGGTCCTCGGCGTCCTGGCTCTGCAGTTCCTGCAGGTCGTCAAACACCTGGAACACACAGAACCAAGATGTGGGGTCAGACTGAGGGAAGCTGTCTGGAGGTCTGGAGAGTGCACAGCAGTAAGGCACGCAACCCCTAGGGTCCCCCACGCCCTGGCAAGAGGTATCTCTGAGCGGAGAGCCAGCAGCAAGCCCCAAGCATCGCCAGGTGAGCCCCCCCCCAAAAAAAAAAGAGAAAAGGGGCTGCAGTGATGGCGATAGTCCAGTGGGGAGGGCGATTGCCTTGCACACGGCCGACCCGGGTTCGATCCTCAGCATCCCATAGGGTCCCCAGAGCACCGCCAGGAGTTATTTTTGTGTGCAGAGCCAGGAGGAACCCCTGAGCATTGCTGGGTGTGACCCAAAAAGCAAAAAAAAAAAAAAAAAAAAAGGGAAGGACAAGGGTTGGAGCGATAGCACAACAGTAGGGCAGTAGGGCGTTTGCCTTGCACGCAGCCAGCCCGGCTGAGCCAGGTTCGATTCCTCCGCCCCTCTCGGAGAGCCCGCAAGCTACTGGAAGAGTATCTCCTGCGCAGGGCAAAGCCTGGCAAGTTCCCTGCTAAGTATTCGATATGCCAAACACAGTAACAAGTTGTATTCAATGTCAAACACAGTAACAAATTGTATTCAATATGTCAAACACAGTAACAAGTCTCAGGAAGGAGACTTTACTGGTGTCCACTGGAGCAAATCATGAACAGGAGGACAATGTTTGTTTGTGTTGGGGAGGACAAAGCCAAGCCCCCGAGAGTGGCCGGGGCGGCACTCACCTGGATGTTAAGCAGGAAGGCCGCCTTGGCCTCGTCCAGGACCCGCCGCCGGACGTCCGGGCCCATGTCCAGCGTATTCATGCGGGCGCGGTAGAGTTGCTTGAACTTGGTGGCGCTGTCGATGTTGGGGAAGGCGAAGAAGGCCAGGCCGTCGCTGTCGCCCGGCAGGTCCAGCGCCTTCTGCGCGATCTTGCGCAGGGTCTGGCCCCCGGACAGGTCACCCAGGTAGCGCGTGTAGGCGTGGGCCACCAGCAGCTCAGGCTCCCGGCGCCCCACCTCGTGCAGGCGACGCACATAGCGCCGGGTGGCCGGGGAGGGGGCCACGGCCTCTCGCCAGTTGGGGCCGTACCAGAAGGCCAGGGTGCGCCGCAGGGCAGGGCCGCGGTGCAGCTCCTCGGGGAAGTAGAGGGGCTTGAAGGCGGGGTGGTCCTTGTTGCGCTCGATCTCCTCCTCCAGGGCCTCGTAGATGTGGTACAGCGAGGCCATCACCAGCTGCAACCAGAGTGGTCGGGTGTGAGGCATTCCCGGGGGGGCTTCTCCAGGCTGAGGGCGGGTCCCCAAGCTGGGTGCCTCCTGCTCCCCCTCACCCCCCACAGCTCAATGATGCCAGCAGGCAACTGCTGGCTGAGCCTAAAATCCCTCTATCTCGGGGTTGGAGGGATAGCACAGTGGCGAGGGTGTTTGTTTTGCACGCGGCCGACCCAGGTTCGATCCCCAGCATCCCATAGCGTCCCTGGAGCACCGCCAGGAGTGATTCCTGAATGCAGAGCCAGGAGGAACCCCTGAGCATCGCCGGGTGTGACCCAAAAAAAGCAAATAAAATTTTTTTAAAAAATCCCTCTATCCTGCTAAATAAAACACTTGTTTTGTTTTGGTTTGGTTTGGTATTTTTTTTTAGGGGGGGGGCACACACTGATTGGCTCAGGGGTCATTCCTGGCTCATGCACTGAGAAATCACTCCTGCACAGGGGACCCCTATGCAATGCCAGGAATCGAACCCAGGTCGGCCGCGTACAAGGCAAACGCTCTTCCGGCTGTTCTATCTCTCTGCCCTCAAACACTTTTCTGGGGGACAGGTCTGGAGGGACAGCTGGCAATGCCCACCGAACAGGGGGTTTGCTCCCACTGGTGTTCAGAGGCCTATGCAGTGCAGGAGGATGGAGAACCCAAGGCCCCTCCCCCACCCCATGCAATGCAAGAACCCCAGCCAGCCATACCATCTAATTTAAATCAATCATTATTATTTTTTAAAATTTTCAAATACTTCTACTAGGGGCCACGGCTGTAGTACAGCGGGAAGGATGTGTGCCTTGTATGCTGGTTGCTGAGCTGGAGTTTAATCTCTGGTACCTCTATGGTACCCTGAGCCCCACTGGAAGTGATCCCTGAACAGAGACAGAAGTAAGCCCCGAGCACCACCAGGTATGGCCCCAAAATGAATGAACAGAGAAAAGAACCCCATTACTGGGAGGGTTTTGCTTTACAGGGGAAGCACTTGCTTTACCCTGCGTGCAGAGTCAGGAGTAAGCCCCCCTCCAAAAAAAAAAAAAAAAATATATATATATATATATATATATATATGGAGGCCTGGGCTGGGGCGATAGCACAACGGTAGGGCATTTGCCTTGTGCACAGCCGGCCTGGACGAGCCGGGTTCTATTCCTCCGCCCCTCTCGAAGAGCCCGGCAAGCTACCAAAGAGTATCTCGCACAGCAAAGCCTGGCAAGCTCCTGTGACGTATTCAATATGCCAAACACAGTAACAAGTCTCACGATGGAGACGTTACTGGGCCCGCTTGAGCAAATCGATGAACAACAGGAGGCACCGTGACTGTGACCGTGAAATACAGTAAAGGTAAGGTAAGGTAAGGTAAGGTAAAGGCCCTCCCGTTGATCGTCGATTTGCTCGAGCAGGCCCAGTAACGTCTCCATTGGAGACTTTGTTGTTACTGTGTCTGGCATATCGAATACTCTCGGTAGCTTGCCGGGCTCTCCGAGAGGGGCGGAGGAATCGAACTCGGGTCGGCCATGTTGGCCGCTTGTAAGGTGAACGCCCTACCCGCTGTGCTATCGCTCCAGCCCAGGGTACAAAGGCATGGTTTTGCATCCCACTGGCGGTACCACGTACGTTCCCACGAGCACCACCAGGAGTCGGGAGCACAAAGTTCCTAAGCACTGCTGGGTGTGGTTCCCCCCCCCAAACAAAAATGAAGGAGCTGCTCTCTCCACGTGACAGGTAAAAAAGGACACGCAGGAGAACGAGAGTGGACCCAGAGCTTAGAAATGAGACGAGGTGCCGGAGCAACAGCACAGCTGATAGAGTGGTTTGCCTTGCACGTGGCTGACCCGGGTTCGATCCCTGGCATCTCATATGGTCCCCCGAGCACCGCCAGGAGGAATTCCTGAGTGCAAGAGCCAGGAGGAACCCCTGAGCATCACCGGCTGTGACCCAAAATAAAAACAGGAGCTCCGTAGAAAGGACCAGAGCCCCTGGCCCTCCGTGATACTCTGGAGCAGGCTGTGAATTTGCTGTGTGGCCTCTGGTTCACTGGTTCCCCTCTCTGAGCCTCCACGGTTGAACTATAGCATAATGCCCAGGGACAGGCCTATGTGGCCCCTCAACACCCAGGGTCCCCAGCCCCACTCAGCCCACTGACCTACAACTCAGCCCCACCTGCTGCCCCCACCGAGACCCCAGGCCACCTACCTTAAAGCCCCTGGGGCTGACTTGGCCCTTCTGGAAGTTCTTCATGAATTCCGCGTTCTCTGCCTGGACGTGCACCTCCTTGGTGGCCTCCTTCATGGCCTCCGACAGGTCCTGGCGCATGCTGGAGGGGACAGGGAGAGGAGGACAGCTATGAGCAGGGCTGTCCTCCTCTCTCAGGCTGTCCTCCGCCGAGCTGAAGGGGGTCTCGCCTTTTAGAAGCCTCGGGTGGAGGGAGAACTGAAGGGCTGGCACACGGGAGGCCAAGGTGGCACCCCTGACACCACAGTTCCCGGCTCCACTGAGCACTGAGCAGGGAGTCCTCTCCAGAGCACTGATTAGGGAGTCATTCCCAGAGCACTCGGTAGGGAGTTAGTCCCAATACTGCGAGATGTGGTCAAACAATCCCCACCCTGACCAAACAAGCAGTGGCTAGAAAGTCCGTGCCCAAGTTTGGGTGGCTGCCTGGAACGCGGTGAAGCCATAAGGCACCCTGAGCTCCGCCAGACGTGATCCCTAAGCACAGAGCCAGGGGTAACCCCTGAGCACAGCCAAGTGTGGCCCAAAAACCAAAACAAGGGGCCAGAAGATAGCACAGCACGGACGGCATTTGCCTTGCACACGGCCAACCTGGGTTCGATTCCCAGCATCCCATAGGGTCCCCTGAGCACCGCCAGGGGTGATTCCTGAGTGCAGAGCCAGGAGTCAGCCCTGCTGGTGTGGCCCAGAAAGGAAAACTAAACAGAAACGGAGGCTTCTTCAGGGTACTCTGCAGAGAAAACGCCCAGCACCCACATGGCCAGGTGGCCAGCGGTCTCGTCTCAGGGCATTGCCCTACCAAGGCTGCATGGTTAATAAAATGCTAATCCAGGGTCAGGGGGCCAGGGAGAGATGTGGGTGGAGGCGGAGTGGGGGGGAGGCAGGGGCACGGGGGCAGCGGTCAGCACAAGGGTCCAAGTTCCACACTGCTCCAGTGTAGCATCCTAATAGCTTTGATTGGCCTTTTAGTTGCTTCTTTTATTCTCCTATGGTTCAAATACAAACTTCAGGACCGCATGTAAGGAGATGCTTATTCAAAAAGTTTGGGTTTGGGTTTAAAAAGAAAGAACTCCCAGGGCTAGAGCAATAGCACAGCTGGCGTTTTGCCCCATATGTGGTAGACACGGGTTCGATTCCCAGCATCCTATACGCCCCGCCCCCCCCCCCCCCCCCCCCCAGCACCACCAGGAGTAATTCCTGAGTGCAGAGCCAGGAGGAACCCCTGTGCATCGCCGGCTGTGACCCAAAAAGCAAAAAACAAACAAACAAAAGCAAAAGAAAAAATAAGAACTCCTGACACCAGAGAGATAATACGGGGAAGGGGGGGCAATTGCCCTGCCTGCGGCTGACTCAGATTTAATCCCCGGCACCGGCTATGGTACGACACCAAGTTCCACCAAGAGCCAGCCCTGAGCACTGAGCCAGGAGTAAGCCCCCAGCATTGCGGAGGGCAGCCCCTTAACAAAAACAAACCAAAACTCCTGACCAGGGAAAGAGCATCGAAAAGACACCATGCAATGCCGGGAGTGACCCCTGCAATAGGCAGAGAGAAGCCCCCGAGGATGCCCCCCCAAATGACTAGGTAACTCCCGTTTATGCAGAGGAAAGGTCTTCCTTGGGAACCGGGTATGCACTTCCCTCAGACTACTGTTCCTTCTCTCCCACATCCCTTAAAAAAACATCATCCCCGGATTCCTAACTGCAGGCTCTCAGGGGGAGGAGGTGGACAAATCAAGGTTCAAAAGCCCAGCTTCGGTGCTACCCAGCCAGGTGGCCACCTGCCCACAGCCCCAAGGGGAGCCCTCATCTAGAAAGTGGGGTCTTGGGGTCCCCCATGCTGCCGGGAGTGGGGGCACCCCTAGCTAGAGGGGCAGACACGGTGGTTTCTGACAAAGCCCATTCAACACACACACACACACACACACACACACACACACACACACACACACAGTCTCTCTCTGTCTGTGTCTCTGTCTGTCTGTGTGTCTCTGTCTGTCTGTCTGTGTCTCTCTGTCTGTGTCTCTCTCTGTCTCTGTCTGTGTCTCTGTCTCTGTCTGTGTCTCTCTCTGTCTCTATCTGTGTCTCTCTCTGTCTCTGTCCGTGTGCCTCTCTCTGTGTGTCTCTCTCTGTGTCTCTCTCTGTCTGTCTGTGTCTCTGTCTGTCTGTGTCTCTGTCTGTGTCTGTGTGTGTGTATGTGTCTCTCTCTCTCTGTCTCTCTCTGTGTCTGTCTGTCTGTCTCTCCCTGTCTCTGTCTGTCTGTCTGTCTGTCTGCCTGTCTCTCTCTCTCTCTCTCTCTCTCTCTCTCTCTCTCTCTCTCTCTCATCTGGACTCTGAACGACCAGGGAATTCCAGGTTACGCTCAGCCCCTCCAAACTCAGTCCAAAGTCCAATACCAGATTCCCGACAGACAGAACAGTTGTTGGGAGGAGGGGGGCTTGCCTTGCACACAACTCTCCCGGATTCAATGCGTCAAACGGCAGCGGGTGCACACGCCCCCTGGTCCAATACCCAGGCCCGAGAGCCAGCTCAAAGGGGCTGACCTCAGGCTCTGAGTGGAGGAGGAGGTGGGGGTGCCTACATACTCCGTCCCAGCACCTAGGAGTCACGGGGCCCGCGGAGCTTAGAGCAGCTTCCCATCCCGGGGAAAACCACTAAGCCGACTCCCCAGATACACTACGGGAGTCCTAGAGCCAAAGAGTTTAAAAGCTCTTCGGGGCCGCAGCTGACCCGGGTCCGATCCCGGGCACTGGGATACTCCCGAGCCGCGCCAGACGCGATCCCCGAGCGCAGAACCAGGAGTCAGCCCTGAGCGCTTGGCTAGGTGTTGCCCCCCACACAAAAATAAGTTAGCCACTAAGGAGATCTCTGTCGCTGGCCACCCGCGCGGGGTTCCCCAAGAAGCATCTTCCCTCCCGGCACGCGCAGCGCCTGGCCGCCAAGCCCCGGAGCCGCCGGGCAGCTGCGCCCCGTCCGCGCCGTCGCTGCCCGGCTCTGCCCGCCCCTGCCCGCCCCCCTCGAGGGCCCGGCCGCTCCGCGCTTGCCTGTCGGACTGTGGGTGCTCCATGCTGCTGTGCGGGGTCTCGGGACGCTGGCCGCGGGGCTGTGCGCTCGGAGTCTGGACGCCGGGATGCGCGCTCGGTGCCTGGACGCGGGGATGCGCGCTCGAGACTGGGATGCTGGGATGCGCGCTCGGAGTCGGGATGCTGAGAGGCGCGCTCGGGATCGGGATGCTGAGAGGCGCGCTCGGAGTCGGGATGCTGAGAGGCGCGCTCGGAGCCTGGAAGCTGGCTACGGAGCTGGTCTGCTCGCTCGGGGCCGGGACGCCGACTGTGACCAGCGTTGACCGCGCGGTCCTTTTATTCCCCGCCCGCCGTCACGTGGCCGCGCCCCACAGCTGATCAGCACCCGGGGCCCGGGACGTTGCAACACCCGGGCCCCGCCCGCCGGCCCGCCCGCCGCGGGGGTGGACGGGGAGTGGTCACATGAGCTGGCAAAACAAAGCCATTTAGAACAGGACGTTTAAAAAAAAAAAAAAAAAAAAGAAAAAGTCGGGAAATCCGAGCCTCTGGGTGTATCCTCGGCTCAGCCCGGGAGGGACCAGCGCTCCCGGCAGATCGCGAAGGTTCCAGAAAAGTTGGAAGGAGAAAAGGGTGAAGGGGGTGATCGCAGGGCTGGAGGCTGGCGGAGGTCCTATCCCTCTGGCCCTGAAGTGATCATAAGCATCCCCCCACACACACACCGTGTGCTGCCAGCGGCTGTTCCCCAAGTTCAGCCCAGCCACTGTCCCTTCGGTTTTACAGAACGGAAAACAGGCTCAGGAGGGCCCAGGCTGGGTGCCCAGGGTGACAGATAAATCGGGAAACTCCGGGGTCCTTACAGATAATACAAGAGGCATAAGGAGCTTGCGTTGCAGGCAACTGACCCTGCTAGGAACTGCACTTGGGTACCCGTCCCCACTAGCAGTGACCTCTGAGCACAGAGCCAGGAGTAGTAGTTCCTGAGCACTCTGGGTGCGGCCCCCTCAAAAAAAAAAAAAGAAAAAAAGCCAGGAACTCTGACCCAGAACCGGGAACATTCCAAGCCTCCTTCAGCCTCCTCAGGCTCCCTCGTGCACTTGGTACACAACTCCACCAAGACGCTGATCAAACAGACCTGCCCCTCCATGTCTGAGTCAGCCGGAGCAGTGTCGCCAACATTCTCCTGCGGTATTAACTTAGTACGGAGCGATAATAGAGCAGGGAGGGCGTTTGCCTTGCTGGGTTCCATCCCATAGGGTCCCCCAAACACCGCCAGGAGTGCTTTCTGAGCGCAGAGCCAGAAGGAACCCCTGAGCATCTCCGGGCGTGACCCCAAAACGAACAAACGAACAAAAAGAATTACGTTCATTCTGCAGGAGGCAGGTGGACACAGCATAGAGGGCAGGACTGGGCAGGAAAAACTGGGCCAGGCCTCATCCTAGCCCACCCTCAACATTTGGGAGCACTCAGACCTCCAAATAAAAAGTGAGTCTGGGGGCTGGAGCGATAGCACAGCGGGGAGGGCGTTTGCCTTGCACGCAGCCAACATGGCCGACACAGGTTCGATTCTCAGCATCCCATATGGTCCCCCGAGCACCGCCAGGAGCAATTCCTGGGTGCATGAGCCAGGAGTAACTCCTGAGCATTGCCGGATGTGACCCAAAAAGCAAAAAAAAAAACAAACAAACAAAAAAAACTGAGTCTTATTACAAGGATGGCATTTGGAAATGGTGGTAGCAAGCACCTCTAGCTTTTATTTTATTTTTTTGCTTTTTGGGGTCACACCTGGAGATGCTCAGGGCTTACTCCTCGCCCTGCACTCAGGAATTACTCCTGGTGGTGTTCAGGGGACCACATGGGATGCCGGGGATAAAACCTGGATAGGTTGCTTGCAAGACAAATGCCCTCCCACTGTACTATCCCTTCCCCTTCGGCCCAGGTTTTGTGTTTTGGGGGGATTTCAGTTTTTTTTTTTCTCACACCCGGCGATGCTCAGGGCTTCCTCCTGTCTCTGCACTCAGAAATTTACCCCTACTGGTGCTCAGAGGACCATATGGGTGCTGGGGATCGAACCTGGGTTGGCTGTGTGCAAGGCAAACACCCAAGCTTTGTGTTTTTAACCCCCTAGAACCCTGCCCCTGCCTGGTAGATAGTAGATAATCAATAGAGACTGAACAATTGATTGAACGAATCCAGACCAACAGAAAGATCTTTTTCCAGGAGACCCAGTAATATTGCAAAGCTGTCAAGCAGGGCTGGAATCAGGTTGTAATTTGCGACCTCCGCCAGCTTTCACAATCACAATCACAACCATCCTGTTATTCGTCAATTGCCTCGAGCAGGCCCCAGTAACGTCTCCTTCGTCCTAGCCCTGAGATTTTTTAAAAAGTGCCATACTCAAGGCTCTTTTAGGGTTAGGAGAATGAGACCCATCGTTGTTACTGGTATTTGGCATATTGGGTGCGCCACGGGGAGTTTGCCAGACTCTGCCGTGTGGGCAGGTTACATTCTGCCAGTTTGTCCAAAGTAGGAATGAGATGATGTCGCGGGAGCCCCAAATGCGGCCGCGCGCTTCTGGGAGCTGGTTTTTATAGTCTCTGAGTCTTGGCCGTTGATGGGATTACACAGCGCCAGGGGGCCAGTTGGTGGGTGTGACCCCCGCCTACTGGAATTTGGAGGATCTGGGTGGAGGATGCTCAGCCCCGATCCGAGCAGGCTTGGAGATCTCAGCCCTGGGATCCGCGTGCTTTTGTTCCTCTGCCGGTACCTTCATGTGTGTGGAGAGTGGTCTCGGCATGGTGGTGGCTGGTTCTGGAGGTCTTCAGCTCCCGGAGCCCTGGTCGGGGCGGGGAGAAAAACTCAACCCGCTCCCCTCCAAGGGGCCCCGGCGAGGACAGCTAGGCGCCAGGGCAGGAGACTCTGCGCTGTTCTCTTCCGCCAGCTTTATTGAACACTTACTAAGTCCATGACCATATGTGTGGAACCTCAGTTAATACAGACAACAACCCTGTCCAGTCTGGTCATTAGGTCAGCCCTGAGACAGAGAAGTCAAAAATCATTTTTTCAAGTAACACAAAGTCAGGCCTTAGGAGATTGGGCTCATATGCCAGACCCCTAAGCTATCCCCCATCCCAGGGGCCAGTCTGTCCTCCCATGGGGTGGGGGAGAGTGAGTGTGTGAAGGCCTGAAGGTTTCCCATCTGCAGACTCCAATCCTGTTGATTTAGAGACCCCTGGGGTAAAGCTCATGGGGGTCCAACACCTTCTTGCCTAACACAGAGTGCACTGAGTCCCGAAAGGAGATCAGCACTTATCCGGGTTGATCCTTCAGTGACTTCCTGGCTGCCGGCCCTGACCTGCCCCCTTCCCCTGGAATCCAGGGCTGTAGCCCCAGACAACCCCAGGGCAGAGCAGGGGCAGGCAGGTTCTCTGCTCTGGGTGCAGGATGAGTGTGTTGGCCTCCCCCAGCTGACTCAGCCCTGCCCACTTCCCCTTCCCAGTCCTCCACTGCCGGGACAGTTTCATTGCTTTAAAAGAAAAAAAAATTATTCTCCTTCCTTTTTCTGTTTTTAATTGGGAAGGGGGGGGGTGTCAGAAGACTGGGACAGGTGTGGGGAGTCTATGATACATTCAAAATCACATCTGCAAATCGCATCTGCTATGAGTGTAGCACATGCCGGATTGGAGGTCTCACGCTGGGCTGCCCCTGGTCCCCCCTCCTGACACCTCTGTGCTATTCCTCCCCTCCCCCCCTACAATCAGCTGAATAACATCCCCCCCTCCCCAAGTGTGCATCCTCACATCAGCAAAACAGATTTTGCAGATGAGATTAAGTTAAGGCTCTTGCCTCAAATAAAAGGATCCTGGATAATCCTCAGGGTTGACTGCAATCCCCCCCCCCCCCAGGCCTTCCTGGAGGGGGCTGCAGGCTGGACTGACGGGTATTGCTGAGTACAGGCTGCCCATGGGGACTCCCAAAAGCAGGCAAGTTTCAGGACCCAAAGCAGAGCCTGCTCCGTGAACACCCTTAGAGGAATCTGATTTAGGACTTCTGACTTCCAGAAAGTCAACGTCAGGCCCATAGAGACAGTTACAGGGGTTATGGCACTTGTCTTGACCGTGACTGACCCTAACTCCATCCCCAGCACCACCTATGATCGTCCCAAGTTCCTCTAGGAGTGACTGCTGAGCACAGAGCCAGGAGCAAGTCCTGAATACCTCTGCGTATGCCCGCCAAAAAGACAAAACAAAACAAAACAAAACAAAAAAACTAAAGAAAAGTAAGAAACGTGTGAGTTTTTTGTTCATTTGTTTTTGTGCTTTTTGGGTCACACCCAGCGATGCACAGAGGTTACTCCTGGTTTATACACTCAGGAATTACTCCTGGTGGTGCTCAGGGGACCATATAGGATGATGGGAATCCGACCCAGGTCGGCCGCGTGCAAGGCAAACGCCCTACCCGCTGTGCTATCGCTCCAGCCCCCAAATGTGTGTTCTTTTAAGGCACGTTTGTGGTGTGGGGTTGGTTCTGAAGACCCCAGAAAAGAGATTCCCACCGTCCTCTGGCTTGTCCCCTTTATACCTGGGGCAAGTCCTCAGCTTAGGGGAACAAAAGGCATAGAAAGGGCCCCGGGAGTCCTCTCTCTTGCATGGTCCCCTGAGCACAGCCAGGAGTCGCCCCCAGCACAACTGGATATAGCCCAAACACCTTCCACTCCCCCACCAGAACAGAACAGCTCCATGGCAAGGCTCAAGCCTTGAATGTGCAAGGCCCTGCCCCCCAAATCCTGCAACAGCAGATACGACCCCCCAAGAAACCCAAAGACAAAAAATAAATTTAAAAGGTGAGGGTGAAACCCAGGATCTGTGTATATTTCACGGGTGTATTTATTCTATTTATTCGGGGGGGGGGCTGGAGCAATAGCACAGTGGTAGGGCGTTTGCTCTGCACGTTTGCTCTGAATGTGGCTAACCCGGGTTCGATTCTTCCATCTCGGAGAGCCCGGCAAGCTACTGAGAGTATCCTGCCGGCATAATAGAGCCTGGCAAGCTCCCCGTGCCAAAAACAGTAACAACAAGTTTCACAACGAAGACGTTAACTGGTGCCCGCTCGAGTAAATCAATTAACGACGAACGGGAGGGCAGTGCTTGGACAGTGCTTAGATTTATTCTGAGTGTGGATGGTCCTCAGAGTTTCACATGCACAAAACAAACCCTTTTTTTTCCCTCTCTCTCTCTCTCTCTCTCTCTCTCTCTCTCTCTCTCTCTCTCTCTCTCTCTCTCTCTCTGAGCTTCATC